CTACAACACCACCGCAATACACACACAGCGCCACCGTACACACAACAACACGGCGCCACCCAAGGGATGTGTATCGCACTACAGAGGCTTAGGAGATTAGTTTTGGTCGTGGCATTTTTTTGGGGGAGGCTGGCCAGCCTGCGGGCTCGCTTCCCCCGAGGTCTATAAACGGGTGTCGGGGTGTGGGTACAAGTGACGTGGCTATACCCAAAGGAATTCGTAACGTAGTAGATGGGGGGTTGTTTCTCTCCAATGTGGAGAGATATGAATGAATAAGTTAGTGGGCGTCGATGTACGACACGCCGAACTCGCGGTTGAGGCGCTCCTCGATCTGGATGAGCTTGGTGTCGATCTGGCACAAGCTCAGCTCGTGTTGGATTTGCAAGTTGTCCAAGTCGTTCAGGGTGCACCACCCCAGCAGGGAGAGCCGCTGGTGGGTGGCGTCGTAGGCGTCGGTGATCTGGCGGCGCTGGCCCAGCAAGTACGCCGTGTACTCCATGAGCTCCTCGACGGTGGTCAAGTCGGCGACCAGGCGCGCCCGCCGCTGGGTGAAGTACAGCTGCTCGATCAGCAGCACGTTGAGCTTCAGCGACAGCAAGTTGTCCAGCAAGGTGATCACCGGCAGCGTCAACGGCGGCGTCAACGGCGTCGCCACCAGCGCCGCCCGCGTGCGCAACACGTTCAGCAACAGCAGTGTCAGCGAGTGGGGCAGGTGTTTCGGCAGCCGGGGAATCAGATGGCGACTGCTTGAGAGCGATGCCAGGCGCAGTGCCCGCGCCAGCAGCGTCAGTGGCGCCACCAGCGTCGCCGCCGTTGCCACCGCACCCGCCTGGTCATCCAGACACACCAGCGTAACACTAGCGGCAGCCCCAGGAGGAGGCAGAGATTCGTGGCTCGGCAGCTTCAGCCCCAGGTCATTGCGCTTGGTGGGGGTCAAGCTGAGCTTGCGGATGCCCTGCTTCAACAGCTTAAGCCGCAGCGGCTTAGGCATCGGCTGGGCGATCTCCTTAGGCACGAAATATTGGTGGTCGACCAACAGAGGCGAGTCCAAGTGGTATTCGGCAAACAGCTCTTCCACCACCACCGGGAACAAATCATCGTCGCTCGGGGTCGGGGGTTTGGCGAGCAGCGCCGTCTCCAGCAGCACCACCAGATTTCGGTTGGCGGGGAGCGGGGGGAGGAGTTCTTCGTCGCCGTTCATCACTGGGTATAATGATGACGGTTCGGAGGGCTAACGGTTTGCGCCCCCTGGTGTGTCGCCGCTATATATATATTTTCCCCATTGGCATCTGCACTGCGCTCGTGTGGATTCCGGTATTTTTTTCCCAGGCGCTGCACGCGCACTGCGAAGGGATGGGGGAGGGCGACCAAAAACGGGGAGCCCCCTAAGGTGAGGTTTTTTTTTTCAGCGGTGGCACATCAAAGATTTTTTTTTTTTTCGTCACTACCGCTTATGTGCAGGGGCGCGCCCGTCGGCATTTTCTATCGCACGCAAATTAAACGTTCCCGCGGCGGTGCCAGACGGTCGTACGGTCACCGGTTACGGCGCCCCGGCCGCTAGGGGGCATTCATCCCCCAATTCCTTTCGGGACTAACGACGAAAGCAGCCAAGCGGGTCTCTCGCCAATCACAAGAGCCTACGTTCACAATTTTAGGTAATCGTTTAGTTACTAAGTGGTACCCTAACCGGTTCCGCTGCTAGCGCTAGCTGCACGGAGAATTCCGTGATGTGCGGTGCGAGATGAGCGGTGGCCCGCTGCGATGACCCTGTAGCCGCCACCGATGGCTGCCGCCGGTGGCGCTGACGCCACTGCCTAAATGTAAGCACTAACATGGCTGGCTCAACGCAGCCCAGTAGTGTCTCCGGATCGGATCGACCTCTGCAAGACGCAGGTAATAACTCGGGTCGTGTTCAGCCAACACCTCCAACGCCGGAAGCAGCACGTCGCGATAGCCGTCAGCCAACTGGTGGAGCGGTCGCAGCGAGCACTGGGCGCCGTACTTGCGGTAGATGCCCCGCAAGTAGTTCCAGCTCAGCGGGTTCTGGGGACACTGGGCGATCGCCTTTTCCGTATAATCTATCTCTCGCCGCACCACATCATCGCTAATGGCGCCGCCCATGCTGAACACCACCAGGTAACGGTGTGACCACGCCAGGTTGTTTCTGAGGTCCTGGGCAAGCATTGACAGCACCCACTCGAGCTCTTCAGGCGTATCGAGCTTAAACCGTCGCACGAGCCACCACCGGTACAGCCATACGTGGTGGTTCTTGCAATCAGCGTCGAGCATGGCGCTGATCAACGGAAGCTCGCGCTTGGCGCTGAACTCGCCGCCGTCTTTCGTCGCGTGCTCAATCAACAACTGGCGGTAGTTCCAGATCTGGTAGTTTTTCTCGTTGTCGAGGGCGATCTGCTCACACCACTCGAGCTCGTCCACGATCAGCTTGTTAAGCCCCTTGACGAGGTCAAACCGGTAGATCCACACCAGGTAGTGCAGCGCAAGCTGGTCAAGCACCTGCTCGGTGAGCCAGAGCGCCCGCTCGCTGATCTCGTGGCGGTTCATGAGCGCCAATAGCGTCCCCACCTCCGCCCGGTACTCGTCGCTGTACATGATATTGCACACTGGCAGCGCATCTAGCGGCTGAGGGGTGACGTCGTCAAACGAATAGGGCGATTCCTCTTCCAGCGACATTCAAATTGGTAGTAGTAGTGATAGTGCTTCTTTTGGTAGCCTGCGATTTTATGGCGACACGGCGCGGGGGTGTGGGTCTGATCCTAGGGCGATTGTCGCTGCCTAACTGAGACCGTGCGGCGCCCGCACACACCCTCGCAGCGCTTAGGAGATACCAGATACCTAAGCCCAGTTAACAAAGCCTCTCTGCCCCCCTACGGCTATCCCTCTACGGCCACAGTAATATCGAGGAGTGAAGTGTCTGCTTGGAGTAGTAATCTGCTGATCTCCGATTAGTTAATCAAGCCGTAAACCAATGACAAACAAACCACTGCCGTACAGCTACACGGGTACCCCTGCTGCAATTGGCTGCCGCCCACATCACGGCAACATTCGTCGGGAACGTGCGTAGCCAAACAATTACTCGTCGTCAAAGTTTTGGTGCCATTTGTACGTCCCGCTTTGCCGGGGTTGACAGAGGCACATATCAATGAGGCCACGGCTGCGTCGTCAAAACAAACAATCGAGGAAGCGTATACCCTAGCGAAACACCTCCCCAACCAAAGTTTCAGGAACTGACTTCAGTAATTGAATCATACTAAATTGAATTAGATCAAGCCCATCCTTTTGTGTACTATTAGTGTGGCAAATGGTTTACTTTGTGATGGTGTGGGTGGCGCGCTACGCCGAGCGATCGGGAACGTCCGCGCCGCCCTCCTACCGACTTCGTGAATGGACACGGCCCGTAGCCTTCTGCGGAGTCTCGGAGCCATTGCTGTGGTCTACCTCGCCCTTCAGGCACTACTCCCCAAGTCTCAGATCCCGTTACTTGTTTCGGTGTTCCTCGCCACCAACATGTTTCTGAGATCGCTGGTGTTTCGCTCGATCATCAACCCTCACACCAAGCCCGTTGAGGGTGTGGGTAACAGCTTCTTCAAAGCGTTACCGGGTACCCGTCAGCGAGAGCTTTTGAGTGCGTTAAAGCTGCTCCAGCTGTACCACGCCGCTCAGAAGTCCGCCAGCGAACGGCGCCGTAAGTTGTTCAAAATGATGACCTGGCGCCAGCAGCAGTTGTGCAATGACGTTGGCTACTCAAATAAGCTCAATAAGCTTGACCAACTATCGAAAGTGAACCAGCAATTCCTCGATGGCGTCACTCAATTCGCCTTTGACCGCTACGACTTAACCCACGCCGACTTGGGTAAAGGCGCGACCGACTCGTCGGTGCTGGGGCTGAACTACCGCGTGATCGAGACCCTCGGCCACTTCGCCCGTGACTGGCTGAGCTCAGACGAGATCAGGCCTCTCATCGATTACATCCAGGGGCAGCTCGCAACAATTATCCCGAAAGACGAGCAGGCCGACACCTGCGTGATCGTGCCGGGGCTGGGTCTAGGCCGGATCGCCCACGAAATCGCAAGGCTGGGCGACTACCAGGTGCATGCGGTCGAGTTTCTGGGGTTGATGCATTTGTGTCACGCCTACATCTACCTGGGGGCCGACGCCGCCCCCATTTACCCCTACATCCACACGTGTTCTAACTTCACCAGCACCGACGCCCACTACCGCCACGTCGACGTAGTGCCGCAGCTGCCGCCGCCGAACCTTGAGCTCGATATGAGCGACTTCCGCTTCTTTGAGCTTGGAAAACCGTACAAAAACGTCGTGGTGGTGCTGGCGTTCTTCATCGACACCGCCGAGAACCTCATGGACTACTTTGACGCCATCACCAAGCTCACGGCGCCGCCAGCCAAGGGGTTTTGGATCAATATCGGCCCATTGAAGTACGGTCTGAGCCCGCAAGTGGAGCTCAACGCCGAGGAGATCGAACAGGTCCGGCACAAACTCGGGTGGCACGATCTCGACTACCGCAACGACGTCACAGACACCGTGGGCTACATCACCGACAAGCAGCTGATGTGGCAGGGGTACTATGGCACCACCCGGTGGACGCTGGCGCGACAACCGCGGCGCTGATGCATAGATTCCTATAGGGTTCCACACGTGAGCTTTCCTAACACTATAAATCACATACACAAAGTGTACCCACATTTTAAGGTTATACCCCTGATCCTCTCACCACCAATCGGAATCCCTCGCACTCGACGAGCAACACTAAGGCCTCTCGCCGACAAGGTTTAGGCACTGGGCAGTAGGTTAGGATTCTTGCTCAGTTGCCATGGCTACTACTACCAAAAACGTTTACTGCAGTGCACACCACATTGAGAGCCTCGGTTCCAACTCGTTTAAGATTCCCACGGAATGTTGGCTGTACCGAAGCGCACCATGGAAGCCTTCCACCGGTGAGCGAAGGTCGTTTCCAGCTGTGCTTTGCTTTTGTTAAGATTAGCTTTTTCACCCGCAAAGCAGTTTCGCCGATACCGCCTTACGTCATAGTAAGGTACATGTGAGACCCTCGCCTCACAACCCTCACCCAAATATTTTCCAACGGTGTCCGAGCAAGGAAGAAAGTGTCGGGGAGCCCCCCCCCCTGCCTCAGCCGTGGCCCCAGTCAGCCCACTTTTCCCACTGGTATCGGTGTTGTCGTTTGTGATTGTGTCGGACACCACTCCACCTCCACTTGACACTGTTGTTCGGCGACACACAGAGGAAATGCCGACTCGCAGCCACTCGGCAGCGAGCAGCAGGGTACAGGATCGATGACAATAGCCAAAGTTAGGCGGTGTACAGCGTTAGAGGATCTAAAGCATACGGCGTGGAGGGCGGGGCGAGGCGGGTCTGGCCTGGTCTATCACTAAGACCAGCGGCACCGGGAGAAATTGCCGCCGGGGTTTGTGCAGTACCCCATGCACGCCGGTTTATGTGTCACTTACTAGCAGAAAAAGCCGAGACCCAGGGCTACTGGGTGCCAATGGCAACAGCCACCGACAGCGTATCTCTCGGGTCGACCTGTGGTGGCCACGGCCAGGAAATAAAGTTAAAATGCCAAAAGCCAAGGCGAAGATGAATGATGTAATATTATACAGGAATATAGCATGCTGACGTCTACACCTCTTAGTATCCCCCCTCTTAAATCTATTTGGCAATATCGGTGCCCTTGTTGATCTGGAGCTTCTTGTCCAGCCCCCCCAGCACGATCCCCACCACGGGATCCCACGCCACCCCAAACAACTTGGGCTTCGTGTCGGCGCCCTCTCTGGTGATGGTGTACAACGGCTTTTCCCCGCGTACGTCCCACACCTTAACGGTGCCGTCATGAGACGCACTCAGGAACAAGTTGGCGTTGTCGGGCGACGCCGCCAACGACACCACGAAGTTGGTGTGGCCGACAAGCCGTTTCAGCGTCGCTTCCTCGGCCCGCGGGTCCAGCAAGTTGATGTGTCTCGCCAGCGACCCCGTCGCCAAGAGACTGGGCCCAGCTAACGGCAACACCAGCAAAAGCGAGTACCCCGTCTGCTTGGTGTCGACACACTTGCCGGTGTACAAGTCCCACGTCTTGATGGTGTGGTCCTGGGACACCGAGTACGCCACCAGCGCGTCGCGGGCGTCAAAAGCCACCCCTTCGACTTGCTGGGTGTGGCCGTCTAGCACCAGCAACGGGGCCCGGCGCCGTAAGGTGGCGTCCTGCACCGCCATTTTCCGCCGCTTCTTCAGCGCCAGCAGCAAGTACTTGTCCTCGTCGGCGTGGACGTTGATCGCCGCCATCTGCAGCTGGATCGTCAGCCACACCGCCACCGTGTTGTCGTAGGCACCCAGGATGATACGGTTCGACCCCTGGTGGACGTCAAGCGTCACCACCGGCGCCTTGTGTCCCTCTAAGATCGCGTAGGTCTTGCCCAACTCTGCATCTTCGTCGTCGTCCACCGCCACCGGCTCAGCACCACTCTTCCACAATCTCACCTGTCTGTCGTTACCTGCCAGCACCACTCTCGTCGACGACACCCACTTCACCGCCTTCACCGGAGCCAGGTGGCCGACGAACTGTCTCTCCACTTGGCCCAGAGCATTATATGTGCGGACAATGCCGTCGTAGCAACCGGATAAGATCTTAGCATCAGTGATGGGAACTTGCGACGAAGTGGCGGCTACCAGCTGAGGGTTAATCACGTCAACTGAGCTCACCCAGTCCTCGTTATTAAACAGACCGAGGAACGACGGCGGCAACACCGCCCGGGTATATTCGACGTTGAGGAACGCTTCCAGCGATAACCCGTTCTGGACAAGGTACTCGTCAATCAGCGTCCGCAACAACTGGCCATCGATTAAAAAGTCAAAGGGGATGGGGGCCTCGGTGTCTTTCTCTAATAAGTGGTTGACGACCTCAGACAACCCGTACCGTTTAAGCAGCACCGGCACGTAGAGCGGGGCGTCGGAGACGTGCAACGACTCGTCCTCCTCCTTCGTGAACAACCGGATCTTCACTTGAGCGGCGTCCATGGCTGGCAGTGGTATTATCGGGATGGAGTTGGGGTGTAAACGGTGCGATGAGCATCGGCTTCGCGCAAACACTATCGCAGGAAAATTGTGTAAATGCTACTGTCAGGATTCGAACATACATTCCTATAGATGATCAACGACATATTTAAACAACTGGAGCCGTCGACTATCTTTGTGGGCATTGAACCGAAACAGATGGCGTTGCGGAGTGATCTCCGTCACTTGGGTGCGGCGTCGCCACTTGCGGGGCGGCAGCGGCCGGTTTGATCTGCCGAGTGCTCGGCGTAATTGAGACTTGAGCCGCGACCACTGGCGTCGGCGAGAAGCGTACGGAGGAGGTAATGACCGCATTTGAAATATCAGCAGAGAAGTCTACCTTGAGTTATATAGTTGGTTGAGTCTCCTGTAATTTCTCAAGCGGAGAGTCACTCATTTGACGCCACGAATATTACTTGCCTCCAGCTTATCACTGATACCTCTAATCAGGTAGTTTCAGAAAAGCATACGAGTAGCCTTGCAAATTAATAATGTCTCTACAACTATCATTGATTATTGTTTTACACTTCCTCAAACGAGACACCTGCATCCGAAAAAGTATATTATAACGAGAGGAGAGAATAAGATCCCTTCACATCTGCATCAAAGTTGAAGTACGGTTGGTACGAGATGATGACGCCGAGGCTACAACTTTATTCAGCAACAACACACAGGGGGAAGTTAGTATGCATAATACCCTAATGGCAGGTTATCGCCACTACAATTGTAGACCTCGATGCGATAATACGAAAAAGAGATGCATCTCACAACATCTTCAGCTGACCCTTGATTTGTTAGCTTATGATCGTCGATAGATTTCATAATACAGACGGTGGTGTGGGCTGGCTACGAGCTACTATTGACATGTGGTCAGGTCTTACTATTCCACGTTCTCTTCATCGCCATATACCTTCTGTGTAAGGCGGGCTGGCGATGCATCGGTTCAGCCTTACAATTTCTTGATTTCGCAGCCGGGTGCACTGGTGACTCCGAGTTCACCCGAGTCAAGTCATCACAATCCGTCCAAATGCGACACCCGCGCGCAGGGAAATTTCTCTGCTCATCGAAACCATATCCCCGACCCCCATGCCCTCGGTTGAAGAAGTCGCCTCGAAGTTCGACACCATCTTGGTGCTCGACTTTGGTCTGCAATACTCCCACTTGATCACGAGAAGATTGCGTGAGTTCAATGTCTACGCCGAAATGTTGCCCTGCACCCAAAAGATTGCTGAGCTCAAGTTCAAGCCCACCGGTGTCATTCTTTCCGGTGGTCCTTACTCGGTGTACGCTGACGATGCCCCCCACGTCGACCACGACGTGTTCAAGTTGGGCGTTCCCATTATGGGGATCTGCTACGGGATGCAGGAGTTGGCCTGGATCAACGGTAAGGGTGTTGCCCGGGGCGACAAGCGCGAGTACGGTCCCGCCACCTTGCAAATCAAGGACGCCAACTGCCCCTTGTTTGAAGGCATGACCAATTCGACCGTGTGGATGTCGCACGGCGACAAGTTGCACGACTTGCCCAAGGGGTACGAGATCGTCGCCGTTTCCGACAACTCGCCCTACTGTGCCATTTACAACAAGACCGACAACATCTACGGGATCCAGTTCCACCCCGAAGTCACTCACTCGGTCGAGGGGAAGACGTTGTTGAGAAACTTCGCCATCAACATCTGCCACGCTAAGAACGACTGGTCGATGGAGAACTTTGTCGACACGGAAATCCAACGGGTGCGGGCGCTTGTCGGCCCCACTGCCGAAGTCATCGGTGCCGTGTCCGGTGGTGTTGACTCCACCGTCGCCGCCAAGATCATGAAGGAGGCCATTGGCGACAGATTCCACGCCATCTATGTCGACAACGGGGTGATGAGATTGAACGAAACCGAACAGGTGAAGAAGACCCTCGACGAAGGTTTGGGGATCAACTTGGTTGTCGTCGACGCCTCGGAAAGATTCTTGGGCAAGCTCAAGGGCGTCACCGACCCTGAGAAGAAGCGGAAGATCATCGGTAACGAGTTCATCCACGTGTTCGAAGAAGAGGCCGCCAAGATCCAACCCAAGGACGGCTCGGAAATTGAATTCCTCTTGCAAGGTACTCTCTACCCCGATGTCATTGAACTGATCTCGTTCAAGGGCCCTTCGCAAACCATCAAGACCCACCACAACGTCGGTGGTCTTTTGGACAACATGAAGCTCAAGTTGATCGAACCTCTCCGTGAATTGTTCAAGGACGAAGTGCGCCACTTGGGTGAGCTCTTGGGCGTTCCCGAGGACTTGGTGTGGAGACACCCCTTCCCCGGTCCCGGTTTGGCCATCAGAGTGTTGGGCGAAGTCACCGCCGCCCAAGTGAAGATTGCTCGTGAGGCCGACGCCATCTTCATCCAGGAAATTAAGGACGCCGGTTTGTACCGTCAAATCTCGCAAGCGTTCGCCGCGTTGTTGCCGGTGAAGTCGGTGGGTGTCATGGGTGACCAACGTACCTACGAACAAGTGATCGCTTTGAGAGCCATTGAGACCGTCGACTTCATGACCGCCGACTGGTTTGTGTTTGACGCCGCCTTCCTCAAGCGGGTGGCGCTGAGAATCGTCAACGAAGTCGACGGCGTCGCCAGAGTCACCTACGACATCACCTCGAAGCCTCCCGCCACCGTCGAATGGGAATAGGTTTGGTAGATAGAGAGACATTATGATTGATTTTATAAACACCTGATTGCAGCGGAAATCATCTTCTCGCAGACCAATAGGCAAACGGCGTACGTAATTAACCTTCATCTTTAATGGAAGCAATGCAAGGAAGCAAATTTTGGGTTTTGTTCCGATCTTACAACTACCCTAGAATCGTAATGATGTCCGGTCTTATCTGCAGTACAGAATCTCGGAGGCATTAAGTTTACGCCACCGCCACTCAACCCCACATATATATAATCCCTCAGACACTCGTTCGGAAACCCAACAATATGAGATTCGCTGTGGTTCACCAAGGCGACGTGATCCCCGTGGAAGTCCCCGATCAGCTCACTTTGGCTGATTTCAAGGCCTACTTGGAAGCGGAAACTAGCGTTGGCCCGCAACACCAAAAGCTCGTCAAGGACGGCAACGAGATCAATGGCGACGATAAGCTGCTTTCGGAAGTGGGGCTAGTTGATGGCGACATGGTTCAATTACTCAATACCGCTGCCCCAGCTGCTACCGCTGCTGCTAGCAGACCTCCAGCGCCAGCGCCTCGTCCGGGCCAAGTGCCGGCGTCGATTATCGAGAGCCAACGTCAGCAGATCCTTAATACCCCTCAATTGAGAGAACAGATCATCCGTCAGCAACCGGAAATGGAAGCGGTGTTGCAGGACCCCGTCCGATTCCGCCAAGTGATGGAACAGACGTTTGCTCATATGGGCCAAATGGGCGGTGGTGGCGTGGAGAACCTGGCTGAGTACCAGCGGCTCATGCAAAACCCTGACGATCCTGAACTGCAGAAGCGGATCATGGAACTCATTCAACAGGAGGCTATCGATGAAAACTATCGCCTCGCTTACGAAATCACACCTGAGGCTTTCACTCATGTCAACATGCTTTACATTGAGCTTACCATTAAAGGCCACAAGATCCAAGCGTTCGTTGATCTGGGGGCTCAGGTTACCTGTATCTCGCCGAAGTTGGCTCAGAAAGTGGGTATTGATCGGCTCATTGACAAACGGATGGTTGCGGAAATCCAAGGTGTGGGAAGACAAACCCTGGGAGGACGTATTCACTCCGTTCCCATTACTGTGGGTGACAGCAAGATCGAACTTCCGTGCTCATTCACTGTGATCGATACCAATGTCGACTTGTTGTTTGGCTTGGACATGTTGAGACGGCATCGGGCCATTATCGATTTGGAGCAAGACAAGTTAATTCTTGCTAACGGCACCGTCGAAGCTCGGTTCTTGTCTGAAGGCGAGATTGTCAACAACCCATTCAGCCCGAAGGGCCCTGATCAGGCACCAGCATCCGCCATAAATCCCACTCCAGCAGTCACCAATACTCCTGCTGCCACCACTTCTGCTCAGCCAGCGACCAAATCTACTACGACACCCGCTGCTCCTTCATCCCATGCGACGCAAGCATCGCACTTACGAAGAGACGAATACACTCCCAGCGATGCTGAGATCCAGCAACTTGTCAACATTGGTTTCTCTCCGCCTCAAGCGAGACAAGCATTGATTGCTTGCAACGGCAATGTTGAGTTAGCGGCTTCGATGCTCTTTAATTAATTGATTAATTAATTGATAAACGTCATTCCCTAATTATGTATGCGTATATATATATCCAGCCGGGGCGATTTGAAGGGGTCCCGGGGCCCTACTTCTTCTTGCCTTTCTTATTATGGTTAGGCTTATTCACCTTATTCTGCTGTTTACCTTTCTGCGGTTTCAGCTTAGCATTGTTCAGCTTAGCATTTTGCTGCTTACCCTTAGTCTGGGGCTTCTCCTCTGACTTAGCCTCTGTTGTCAGTTCCAGAGCCTCCTTAGACTCAGTAGATGATGATTCTTTCTCGTCGAAATTACCGGTGCTGATCGCCGGTTGGGCTAACAGCAGCGGCGCCAGTTCGCCACCCTTGACACCCAAAGCTTGTTCGATGTATTCCTTAGCCTGTTGCTGGCGCTTCTTGTCGGCTTCTTCTTCCAGCTCTTGTTGAGTAGCGATTTGTTTAGCCCGTTTCATGTAGCCCTGGATCCTCTGAAGCTCAGCCTTGATTGGGTGGGCATCGGTGTCCACTCCCTGAGCCTTCAACTGACTGAACACCACCGAAATCAACGTGTAGGTATAGTTATTGAGGGTGTTGATCTTGCCCAACACTTCCTCCTTCAGGTGGCCGTAGGCTGCCAACAGCTCATCGAGCAGCTTGGCCACCATCGGCTGCACTGCCCCTTCAAGCTCATCGATGCTGTGATTGAGGCCGGCAATGTACTTGACGATGTCGCTGGCGTCCATGGTCGCTCGCAAGGTATTGGAGATGAGCCCGATGCGCAGAGGCTGCGAAAAGTCCGACTGAACCTGACTCTCGAATACACTGCCATGGTACGAACAAATCGGGAGATCTTAACTGGGGGGAAGAAGTATAAGGACAAGGCGCAGCTGAAGCACCGGGTGGAGGAGGTGGTGTTTGACCGTGACCTGCGGAAGGAGTACTTGACCGGGTTCCACAAGCGGAAGCTTGAAAGAAAGAAGAAGGCCCAGAACTTCATCAAGGAACAGGAACGGCTCGAGCGGATCAGGGAGCGGAAAGAGGCTCGTGAGGAACGCAAAAAGGACCTTGAGACCCAGCTCAAGCTGTTCAATGATACCATGAAACGGATTAACGATATTAATGACCTCAGCGATGACGAAAACAACAACGAAGAGTGGGGAGGGTTTGACGAAGCTAAAGGTGACGATGATGAAGATGATGATGATGAAGAAAACCCTAAGGACACTTTAGTCACTAAACAAGTATACGTTCGTGAAGATGATGGGCCTACTGACGCCATTATTGACGATGAGACTACCGTTGAAGTGGAACCGATGGAGAACCCGGTGATTAAACAGATGCAGGAAATCCAACAATTGGCTAAGGCCAACAACGTCGACTTGAAGCGGCTGGAGGAAGTATTGGAGGATAGCATTAAGAAGGCTAAGCAGGTAGCGGTGATCAGCGGCGTGGCTAAGCCGAAACCCAAGCTGAAAAAGAAGTTCCGCTACTTGACCAAGTCTGAGCGTCGGGCGAATAACCGCAAGATTAAGGAGAAGAAGTTTAAGAAGTAATTATTGGCATAGTTTATATAATAATGGAATCACGGGTTATGATTCGGGACTAGTAAGAAAAGAGATTGAGTAAATTATGGATTAAGCGATTGAACAGCGATTTCAATCAACCCTGATATTCTACATGATTTATCTCGAATAATGAAGCGCTCAACTTTGTTTTTACTGGAGAATTACAATTTTAAAAAATTTACGAAAAGACACTGCTAATATTTTTGTTGGAGATACTATCAGAGATACGATGCTATTCGCAACCACTGCTTGAAGTCATTTTCGCTTGTCGCCTATCAATTCAAACATTTAGTAGTTTCTCTTATCTATCGACTTTGAACCCTAACTAAGAATTATATGCACACCACGGCCGCCCACTATAAATGCGATGGCGTTGACATCTGAGATTTTTCCACAACTCGGCAGCTGGTCTGCGATGAGTGTAAGTACCAAATTCCAAACGTTCACGATGAAGACAAAGATGTCGCCCCAGGCGGAAGTTCCATACGGAAGATGACGATTCGATATTTAGCCAAACACTGAAAATTCTGAGTGCAACCATTATTATAATGACTGGGACTAACATCTTAGTGACAACCACCTTATACACAATACATAGCATTTACCTTGGCATCTCCCATGTAGACAAGACTAATGATGTTTTCCATGCTAATCATGAATAACAATAGTGATTAAAACTTTATTATCGCGGTGTTCTCATCGCGCTGAAGTCTATTTCTCATAGGAAGCCTTGGTGTCCGCTCTCTCCTCTTAATGCCTCTCTCACAACCGCTTGTAAAAAAGACTGCGCCCTCTGTGATTTTCCAAATGATGTAACGCAGTGCGAAACGCGACAATTCCTCTACAGAGAATGGATGAAGACACACGACAGTTACTCTTCGATGACATAGTGCCCCTACCGTTTCGTATTCTCTTTGTGGTACAAATTGGAGTATGGCTCTGGTACATCCTCAACCGGGCGATGACGTCATCCTGGCACATCAACGTCGCTGCCCTTCTCAATTTGCTGTACACCACCAACAGCTACGGCCAGCCAGACCGACTGTCTCTGGCAGGAGAGTTTGCGCTGGCAGTGATCCCTGCCTTTAATGAAAACGTTCTGCTCCAACGGGGAATTGCTAACAATCTGGTAGCGATCACTATCTTCAATGTGTTAGCGTGGATCGCGTTTAAAGTGGGCGAAATCATGGTCCCTGGCCGTCATTTAGGGGTTATACCAGCATTGGCGTTTGCCTATACTATGTACCGGTTATTCTTTGGCCCCAATCCATCGCTGCCAGCCCACAAACATCATTTTGGCCAAGCTCGAGCCCACACCACCATCAAGCGCGTTTTACGGGGAGGAATCAACTCGGTAACAATGAGATCAAACGATATTTTGATAAGCGATTCGCTTATATCTTATGCCAAAGTGCTCAATGACGTGGGGCTCTACGTGTGGGGCTACTATATCCCTACTGATACTCGATACCCTGCCGGCCTTGAGCTGGCCATCATCGCGTACCCTACATTCATCCGTATCCGTCAATGTTGGTTTGAGTACCGGCTCACAGGTAGACCCCTGCATTTAGCAAACTTGGTCAAGTACGCTCTGGGGCTCGTGCCGTTAGCTCTCAACTACGCGATCAAGACGACGTTAACCACTAACCCCGATAATACCAAGTGGGCGTGGCACTTGACTAAATGGTGGTACGCTGCCAGCGCCATTAACTCCACCTATTCCTTATTTTGGGACTTTCGCATGGATTGGGGGTTGGACATGTTTGATCGTGTGCGGTACGGCCATGGCAGCTGGCTTAGACCGACCACCACCTACCCGCTGTGGATGTATGCCATTGGATGTGTCATTGACACCTTACTCAGATTTGTGTGGGTCTTGCGTGCGTTTGCCATCGATAATGCTCCCACCACTCTCTCGCAAATGCTGAGATTTCTCTTTGGCTACGACGCCTACCTGGCGGGGTACTTCGTCATCGAGTTACTTGAAATTGGCCGGCGGTGGATGTGGTGTTTTTTCAAGCTCGAAAACGATTGGGTCAAGTTGAGCACCGAGGACAGTTTGGAGATGGGCGACATCAAGGCATCATAGCCCACTTCTACAAAGGCAAAATAATCTTTTCAAACGTGTATGTAAATATAATTCGTAATGCACAGGAAAAAACGGTGAACGCTTTTATTGCTTCGAGTCCAACCACTTTTGGGCAGAGTTTCTCCACGCCAAGTCGGCCTTGGGCGACAATCTGTTTTGTTCGAGGTACTGGTTCTTAAGGGGCGACTTGATGGCAACGTAAAGCAAGACAACCGACGACATGGCGGCAATCGCCCCCGCGTTAAGCTTTACGACGTGGGCCATGGTGAGGTGTGTAGGAAGCTTGGTGTCAGCACGATGAATGGTTTTTCATTGGCTCGGTGCGCGTCACGTGATCGCGCCGACAACGGATAGTGGGGACTATAGAAGCACTAAGCATCGAAGATGTGGAGGGATAGGAATGGTGATTGAGTATTGATTCAATTTTGTATGATAAAATTGCACATCGAATTGCTTCTAAGTCTCACAAAAATCGATAGTACGCGTCTCTTAGCTTATAATTCTAAAAAACTCTGGAATAAGCAGCTCAAGCTTGTTTATTTCGATCACTGATTATAGGTCTGTCATTTTGATCTTCGTTTTGTATCAACTTCACATTTACTGTTTCTACTTCCTCAGCCTTTCTGTTCATTTGATCTCACAAGACTGCCATGTCTGCGATCGGTGCTTGCGACAACTACCACCAAGCCTGCGACATAAATGTACCAAATTTTTATAAGAACTCTAACACATATATCATGAACACAACCACATCACAAATCCCCTACTCACATGCAAAAATTTCCCTTTCCCCAGAATTTTCATCTCCAGCGTTTACCACCACCCCTCAGCTCATTTCGCACCCCCGGCTGAAAAAATTTCATCAGAGCCATGTTAGGTCGTCGGTTGGTTGTGACACCGCTACGTCGGGGGTACCATGTTGCCCGCGTGTCACCGCTGTTGAAGCAGCAGTACCTGAAGCTCACCGACTACGGGTCGTACCGGAACCAGGCGTTCACCCACCGGTTGCCCGAATCGACGGCGGTTCAGCTGGCGCCGTTAGTGGCGCTCAAAGCGAGATTGGCCCTTCCGGACTCCTACCTGTTGTCGACGCTTTCCCAGGCCCTCAATATGGACCGCAGCGGCGAGCTTGTCACCAACTACGGCCTCGCCACGTTGGGGCAAACCTTTTTGTCATACTACGTCACTGAGTACCTCGTGCTGAAGTACCCTCGGTTGCCGATGGCGGTGCACAACGCTGCTGTCAACGCCTACATGGGCCCGCAGACGTTAGCCGCCATTGGCGAGATGTGGGGGATTGAGACCGACGAGAGGTCGAAGCTCGATAAGTACTTGGCCAACGAGCCCACCCCCATCCAATACGGTAAGCTCAGGTACCAGCTGGAGGCGATCAAGAAGGCTCCGGTTGAACCGGGTGTGTACAAGTTGGACGCCCGCGAGCAGGCGCAATTGCGCCACGGCGATGACTTTGTGCCCAAGCGGGTGGAAGCTTACGCTCTGGCAGTCAAGCTGATCATTGGCGGCATGTACACCCACTGTGGCGAAGATGCGGCCAAGGCGTTCATCAACGACCACATCTTGTCACGTAAAGTGCCGTTGGACCAGATGTTCCAGTTCTCGCAGCCGACGAGAGAGTTGGTGAGAGTGTGTGAAAAGGAAGGCATGGCCGACGCCGTCGAGGTGCGGTTGATCGCCGAGACCGGGAGAAAGAGTGCCCACCCCATCTACATTGCCGGGGCGTTCTGCGGCACCCACAAGTTGGGTGAGGCGCCGGGGCTGTCGCTCAGAGAGGCAAAGACGAGAGCGGTGGTGAACGCGTTGATGGCATACTACTTGTACCTGCCGATCACTGAGCATGGCGACGCCGCCCCGAAGCCGTCCGACCCCGAATACAAGTTCCTGGGGGTGGTGGGCCAAGGCGACGTGGCCATTTGATGACCCTGTATATATGTACATAGCATAACGAGACACTGAACGTCACCCGATGCTCAGCTGAAACACTGGATGATTACTTTAATAGAATTTGAGTTGAATTTAGGGTACTCGTATTCCGAGATGAGTGCGACTACTACTCGGAGTTCTTCAATCTCCGAAATCAGACAGCTGCAATTACAAGTTTATGGGATGATTCAAGATAGGTTTGGTAACCACTACTGAAAGATTAGTTGAATTTTGGGATAGTGATTTTGGCCATACACATCCCATGACTCAGGGGTGAAATCATTGGCTTGACAGAAACGATCAAATTAACACTAAAGTAACCCAAGAAACTGGCATTATCAAAGTAAATCCCACTATAGTTTCTGAAGCACTGTTTGGAGTTATTGACAGCGACTTGTCAATATCACTCAGGAGGTAACGCACCAATATATACGCTTATTATCTGGAGATCAGGGTGCGATGGAATGACTCGCGCGGTACGCCGAACGGTTGCGGCCCGAGTCAATCGCGACTAATGAGCGGCTGGTATATTAGGCGCAAACCATCCCCCCCCGCCTTCCTCACAACCCATCCTCCACAGTGCTGCTCATGTCGTTGACGATCCTCGTTATTGGGAATGGCGGAAGAGAACACGCCATTGCCTTCAAATTGGCCCAGTCGGACCTGGTAGCCAAAGTGTACGTGGCTCCAGGTAACGGGGGCACCGCCTCCGTCGCCAAAGTGGAAAACGTTCCCGACCTTTCCGGCGACCCTAAGCACTTTACCAAGCTTGTCGAGTTTGCCATCAAGCAGGGCGTCAACTTAGTTGTCCCTGGCCCCGAACAGCCGTTGGTTGACGGCATCAGCGACAAGTTTAAGGCTATCGGCGTCCCCGTGTTCGGCCCGCTGGCGGCGGCGGCAAAGATGGAAGGGCTGAAGGCGTTCTCGAAGGACTTCATGGCCAAGCACGACATCCCCACCGCCCGCTTTCACAACTTCACCGACGTGGCCAAGGCCAAGGAGTACTTGTCTACTGTCGACTACAGAGTGGTGCTTAAGGCCGACGGCATCGCTGCCGGCAAGGGGGTGCTTATCCCTGAAACCACTGAAGAAGCCATCAAGGGCTTAGACGAAATCATGGTCACTAAGGCCTTCGGCAACGCCGGTGACGAAGTGGTCATCGAAGAGTATTTGGAAGGCCAGGAATTGCTGATTTTGACCATCACCGATGGCTACACTTTCTTCAACTTGCCTGCTGCTCAAGACCACAAGCGTATTGGTGACGGCGACCAAGGGCTCAACACTGGCGGTATGGGCGCCTACGCCCCCGCTCCCTGCGCCACTCCCCTGGTGCTCAAGCAAATCGACGCCGACATCATCAAGCCCACCATCGACGGTATGCGTAAGGACGGCTTCCCCATGTGCGGGGTGCTCTTCACCGGGATTATGCTCACTGAGGACGGGCCCAAGGTGTTGGAATACAACGTCAGATTCGGTGACCCCGAAACGCAAACGGTGTTGCCCCTCTTATCGAAGGACACTGATCTTGCCCGCGTCATGCTTGCCGCTGCCGAACACCGTTTGGACTCGGAAACTCTCGCCGTGCAACCCGACACTTACTCCGCTACCGTAGTCATGGCTGCTGGCGGTTACCCTGGCCTGTACGCTAAGGGTGACGAAATCAAGGTGGACAAGGTTGCTGACAACGCCTTCGTGTTCCACGCTGGTACCACCATTACTGACAGCAAGCTCGTCACCGCTGGTGGTCGTGTCATCGCTGCCACTGCCATCGCCTCCACTTTGAAGGAAGCTGTCGACGACGCTTACGCTGCTCTGAAGCAAGTTACTTTCAAGGACAAGTACAACCGTACCGACATTGCCCACCGCGCGTTCAAGGACGCATCGCTGAACAAGGGGGTCACCTATGCTGATGCCGGTGTCTCTGTGGACAACGGTAACCAATTGGTCAACGAAATCAAGGCCCAAGTGAAGCTGACCGCTCGTCCCGGGGCTGACTCCGACATTGGTGGCTTTGGTGGTCTTTTCGACTTGAAGGCTGCTGGCTACGACGGCCCTGACACCTTGTTGGTGGCTGCCACCGATGGGGTTGGTACCAAGTTGAGAATTGCTCAAATCATGGAAAAGCACGACACTGTTGGTATCGACCTTGTGGCGATGAACGTCAATGACCTTGTGGTGCAAGGTGCCGAACCCTTGTTCTTCTTGGACTACTTTGCCACTGGTAAGCTTGACATCGACGTTGCTGCCAAGTTCGTCAAGGGGGTTGCCGATGGGTGTAAGCAAGCTGGGTGTGCCTTGGTCGGTGGTGAAACTTCGGAAATGCCCGGTATGTACGGCCCCGGTCACTACGACACCAACGGTACCGCCGTGGGTGCGGTGCTGAAGGGGGCGATTTTGCCTCGTACTAATGACATGAAGCCCGGTAACAAGGTGATCGGTCTCTTGTCGAATGGGGTGCACCTGAACGGGTACTCTTTGGTGCGTCACATCCTTGAACACTCTAACTTGGACTACCATCTGCCGGCGCCGTGGACTACCAATGGCAACACTGTCGGTGACGAATTGTTGGTGCCCACCAAGATTTACGTTAAGCAATTGTTGCCTTTGATTAAGAAGAACTTGCTTCTTGGGTTGGCCCACATCACTGGTGGTGGTTTGGTGGAAAATGTTCCCCGGGCGTTGCCTAAGGGCTTGCAAGCGTTGATTGACATGACCACTTGGGAGGTGCCCCGTATCTTCAAATGGTTCGGCGAACAAGGTAAGGTCCCCGTCGACGACATGGTTAAGACTTTCAACCTCGGTATCGGCATGGTCGCCATCGTTGAAGATCACAACGTTGAACAAGTGTTGGACGAATTGAAGCAAGCTGGTGAAATGCCCGTCGTCATTGGTGAATTGAAGGAGCAAGTTGGAGACCACCAATGTGTGGTGAGAGGTCAGACGTTGTACTAGTGTTACGAAATAATGAAAATAGAGAAGTAAAGACATCCGAGAAGACATGAAATGTTAGTGACATAACTCAAATTACCTGTGGCTTATAAATTTGAAGTTACTTGAGCCTGAACACGATTAGTCGTGATTGAATGAATTGATTACAGACGTAAATCAAATTAGTTTAGCAGATGACATCGCATTCGAGCGAAAGCTTGATGATTTTCTTCTTTTATTTTACTTGAACTGCATTTTTCAGCGAGCAAAACCTTCCTTGTTACAATCATACACGGATTTGAACCGTGCAGACCATAGGAATGGCATCAGAACCCGTCAAATCCTTTTTTGGACGGCGTCAGCTTGACCTGAAGATTACTCCACCACATGCATGATATATTTGTCAAAGTACTTGAAAGCATGATGAGTATTTCAGTATTCCATTCAACTCCATAAACATGATGAATGTAGTACTAAGACGTAGCATAAAAACAATGGTGTTGAGATTGTCAACTTACCAACACAGTTTTTGAAGTCACGTTCTTCAAGTTCTTTACTCCAAAATAACGCCTAAACGGGATTGTATCACCACTATTGCAACAATTATCTTAGAGCGTCAAACTACCGAGGTGTAGCATGAAACTGGTCCCGAGTTCGTGACCCATATTTGTCACAACTCAATCAATTATATCCTGCATATATCCTGGTGAGCCACTCGTAGTGCCCCTCTCGTCAAAAATTATTTCAAATTTTAATTTCAAATTTTTTTTTTCAGAATTTTTTTTGTTCGGAACATCTTTTGATGTCTATTACACATATATTTGAACCGCGCGAAACATGGAAATGGCATCAGACCTCACTTGATCTGTCTTGATGCTGATGAATGTTGACTTGAACATTTCCTCGCTCTATGCAGGAGTACTCTACACACGCACTTAAAAGCGTGATAAATATGTCATTTTTTTATTCTAGCTTATAGAAGTCCTGTAGCCAGAAGTACAGCTTATCACAATTACACCGGCGGTAACTTACTTGACCTACCCATGATTCACAGTTGATAGAGCCAGATGTATTGTGAGAACTGCATTTATAAACGTATCCTGCATGTATTTGAAGTACTGTGCTATGGCTGAAACTCCTTCAAAATGAACGTCGACTTGCCCAAAATTTTATGTACTGTACTTCTGGTTCCAAAGAATTTTATGAGGCAAACTGGAAGTCTGTAGCAAATTTTCCTGATTTTATATCACGTTTCGAAGTTTTTCAGAAGATAATTCAGAAAAATCCCTTTTGGTGTTGTAAATACTCTTCGAACTGTATAAGATACAGTGCTGTGTTCAATATTTTCTAAAGTGTCATACAAGTGATGAAAAATATGATTGAAAACTTGTGATCCACATGCACATGCAATGCTTGTGTGCAGAACCTCGGACTTGAAAGCATGATAAAAGTGTCGGCACCAATGTTGGCATTGAATTTGACCCATCAGGCCAAACAAGCGTACTTAAAGACTATAATAACGCCAACAAATTTGAGCAGGTACCTCTATAAATGCGTGTTGAAACTCACCTTTTTGCGTCTTGCAGATTTCTTCATGTACCTGCATATAGACATTAACGTAGAGGAGGTGTTACACCCATCTCACCACTGCTATGAACATCACAAGTCGGGTTGAATGCTCACTGGGTGTAGTAGACTACGCCACTATTTCAAAATCGCCCGAAAAGAAATTTGCAAAAAAAAAAAAAAAAAAATTTTTTCCACCGTTAAATTCACATAGAAACGCCTGTTTTGGAGTCAACTCATCCAAAATCACACCAAACATACCTCCAATGCTAAAGAATTTTGTGGAGCAAACAAAATGTCTATATCGTTTCTTCCTGATTTTATAGAATTTTTTTAGTTTTTTCAAGAAAAAAATTAAGAAATTCAAACAATTCTCAATCGTTGCCAAACGTACTATTTGAACACTGAAAATTACAGTGATGTAGTTCGTTTTTGTCTAGGGTGTCATTTGTCTCATGAATGAACTTGGGTAGAGCTTTTCATATTTTTGCATATAGAACTTTTGTGTGCAGGCATAGAGGGTGCATAAACCTGGTGTTTGCTATTGGAGAACTTGTCACCATGTAGATATGCTTACAAATGGTGCCAAGAATGAGCTAACCACTTTGAACGAACTTGAAGTCACAATCATCATACAAGCCTGTTGCTTAGACGAGAAATCACACCAGTATTACCATTGCTCCAAGTATAAGTCGCCTGCAATGTTCATCATAATGTGTTGATGTTAGAACCAAACCTTCAACAAACACATAACTTTCTTGAGTACTGCGTACACTAATATATCTTGCAGGTAGTGTAAGAAAAGGAACATGGCTTCCACTACTCTAAATTTGAGGTTAATTTACCCAAACACGCGTAAGCTATACTTCAAGTGCCAACAATTGATACAAAGCAAAAAGACTCATTCCGTGAAAATCTCTTGATTGTCTTTTTCACCATTACTTCAACCCGTTCATATCTCACGCCAGCTCGTCCAGAAAATCATGAAAAACTTCCAGTGCCAACAATATTTATGAAGCAATCAGATCGACTCTACGAGTTTTTCCCAGAGGGAGTGTCAGCTGCCAGGAAACTCGTCAAACCAAATATCCACCTTGATAGAGTACAAGTACACTAGGTGGAATGAGCTGGCTAGTTCAAACTCATGGGTAGGAGCAACCGTTCTCGTGTTCTGTGTCTCATGCACCTGCATATTATCATGGTGTTTAACGAAGTGTTCGGTTATCTATTAACTCGTCTATAAACATTGCAGATCGCTTCCAGCGCCCGCTATATGTGTTAATATCCAGAACAAACTCTTAGCGTGCTTATATACAACCCTCAAGGAAGCAAAAAAAAAAAAAAAAAAAAAAAAAAAAAAAAAAAAAAAAAAAAAAAAAAAAAAAAAAAAAAAAAAAAAAAAAAAAAAAAAAAAAAAAAAAAAAAAAAAAAAAAAAAAAAAAAAAAAAAAAAAAAAAAAAAAAAAAAAAAAAAAAAAAAAAAAAAAAAAAAAAAAAAAAAAAAAAAAAAAAAAAAAAAAAAAAAAAAAAAAAAAAAAAAAAAAAAAAAAAAAAAAAAAAAAAAAAAAAAAAAAAAAAAAAAAAAAAAAAAAAAAAAAAAAAAAAAAAAAAAAAAAAAAAAAAAAAAAAAAAAAAAAAAAAAAAAAAAAAAAAAAAAAAAAAAAAAAAAAAAAAAAAAAAAAAAAAAAAAAAAAAAAAAAAAAAAAAAAAAAAAAAAAAAAAAAAAAAAAAAAAAAAAAAAAAAAAAAAAAAAAAAAAAAAAAAAAAAAAAAAAAAAAAAAAAAAAAAAAAAAAAAAAAAAAAAAAAAAAAAAAAAAAAAAAAAAAAAAAAAAAAAAAAAAAAAAAAAAAAAAAAAAAAAAAAAAAAAAAAAAAAAAAAAAAAAACCTTTTGCCCGTTTTCAATCTCGGACCCAAGCATCGTTGACTACGTTGTGAGCATACCAGCTGCTTTAAGTGGTGGTTGAGACGTGAGTGATTGTATTGAGGTTCACACCATTTACACCTCGTGCTGTCTACAGAGTTGGTGTGTGAGTGCAGGGCACTTTTGTAATTGAATGGCAGAATTCATGTTTTTCAGCTCTGTGCTTATCTTTACAAAGTACGGTTTCGCAGGCTGATCAATCTTGTCTCAAGATCAATGTTGATAATGGTCACCTATAGTAATGTATATCAAACTATTCTGCGACGAGCGAATTGTATTCGTTGATAATTCTTAGTCACTCAAACATAATAGAGGAAGGCTTAGGTTAATCCCATCTCATCATTAGCCAGACATTTCCCCAACACGACCAATTACGCGAAATAGTTTGCTATCGTAATCTCATCTTAGTCCTCAGTGGTATCGTTGAGTGAATGATACCATGCAGGTGGACTACTCAGCATATGCATCCATCAACCATTCATAAATGGACGCGTTGAGCTTATGGAATTGCAGTATCTGCCATTGCAAGCATAGTAGATCATTACTGCGATTATGGAACTCTCCAATAAGCAAAGGTATAGGTATATGCGATCACTTCTCTCAGTACTTCAAATGCTTCAACTCAGCGGAGTTTGAGTCATCTCAGCGTCAACGTAGACGGGAATGAGTACTTGACCCAGCTTATGAGTCACGCCACAAAAGGTTTGTGCGAGTTTGCCACCTGCATTGCTAGGCTGGCTGAATGCGATCTGTTGGGGTGATAGCTTGAGATACGCTTGGACAGCTCTCAAAAGCCTGATTCCCAACCCTCGTCGTCGCCAAGCACCACATACCCAAACTCTGGCGATGCCAACTTTCACGAGGCGGTTCACTTGATTAGGTACCACCTGACGACTAGTTGACATCATCCACCGGCCCTGATCCTCTGAAACTGGCTCAGTAACCACGATTCCCACGGCTCGGCCCATCTGAGTAGCAACAATTGTGAGTGCTCCTTGGCGCCAATGCGTGGGGCTATCAGCGGCTCCGAGCTCTCTGTCCACCAATTCAAGTACTTTCGCCGTAGCGGCGATTTGTTTAGTGTCTTCAGCATCCACTGTATACAATTCCACATCACTGTATCGTTTAAATCGCTCGGTACCAACGCGATTGGTCCCCTGCCACTTGGGTCCTTTGGTGAACGTAGTGTGGTACTCAGTGTGAATTTTGGCCTCAATCGGATGGATATACTTCAAGTGACAAACGCCACAGGTAACTTCGGTGCCATTTCCTTTGAACCGGGTCTGCTTTGCCTTCCCCACTGGCATCGCCGAGGCCTTACCCCGGAAGTGGTACGATATAAGCCGCGCGCGAAACCGTGCATCGCCAACAATTTATCAGTTGACACATAATCATGGCTCTGAAGTACGCCAACTTGTTGCCTGTCAATGGGCGCTGGAAGCAGCAGATCACCGACTTCCTTTCCGAAGACGTGCCTTCGTTTGACTTTGGTGCCTACGTTGTCGGCGACAAGCAAGAAACGGCATCGCTCTACATGAAGGCCCCGGGGGTGATCTGTGGGGTGGTGTTCGCCGCTGAGGTGTTTGCCCAGTGCCAGTTGGAAGTTGAATGGCTCCACAACGAAGGCGAGGTGGTTACTGAGGACCAGTTGGCTAAAGCTGGCGGCAAGATCGTCGTGGCCAAGGTCAAAGGTCCTGCCAACCGCATCTTATTGGCTGAACGCACTGCCCTCAACCTTTTGGCGCGGTCGCTGGGGGTGGCGACGCAATCGTACAAGACGAAACAGCTTGCTGACCAAGCCGGGTACACGGGGCTCATCGCCGGTACCCGTAAGACCACCCCGGGGTTGCGGGTGCTCGACAAGTACTCGATGTTGGTCGGGGGTGTCGACACTCACCGCTACGACTTGTCGCTGATGGTGATGCTCAAGGACAACCACATCACCCTGACGGGGCTGATCACCAATGCCGTGAAACTGGCGCGTTCGGTGTGTGGGTTTGCCGTTAAGGTCGAAGTTGAGGTGAGTCTGGAACAAGACGCCAAGGAAGCCATCGACGCCGGTGCAGACGTCATCATGTTGGACAACTTCAGCGGCGATGAATTGCGCTCGGTCGCTCAACGGTTGAAGGACCACTACAAGGGGCTGAACAAGCTGTTCCTTTTGGAATGCCTGGGTGGGTTGACTTTGAACAACTTGAACTCGTACTTGTGCAATGACATCGACATCTACTCGACTCTGTCTATTCACCAAGGCACCGGCATCATCGATTTTTCCCTTAAGATCGACGCGTAAGTTATTAACCTATACAGAATTTTTATTTATGTCATTAACGTATCGACAGCATCAGACGAAGCTCAACGCTTTGGAAACCCGAGTTAAGTCCAATAACGTCATTGACGTTACCAAGGATCCGCTGAGTCTCGTCATCGCCTTCCTCTTCCAACTCTCCGCCATCACCACTGGTACTACCAATTGAGTGAGCTAATGGTGGACCCATGATTTGATGGTTGAGCAGCACTCCCGATAGATTCGACATCCCCGATACTAAACTCATATCTCTGAGGATATCACTACCACTAGCCGCGGTGGCAGCAGCGGAAATATCTCGAGTCAGCTGGACGGTTTTCTTTCCAAAACACCGAATGGCGCGGATATGGCTATCTTTCCCATCCTGATGGTTAGCCAAAATCACAATCTTGACGATAAAGCATTTGAGCACACCGTCGCCACGTATGCCATTGAATATGATGTGTGACCACCCTACCGGCTTATTGAAACTTACAGTGCACACTTCCGTCAAGTCCCAACTATCAGATGACCCCGCCATGATCCGGATCTTGGACGGAGTGTAACTTTCATCGAGTAGGAAATTGGTAAAGATTGAGATTCTTTCCAACAGCACTTTCTTCGCGAACTGGATAGTGATCGAATGAGGGTGAGTCAATTGATTATTAGCCATGGCTATGGAGTTGGCATTAGCATTAGGATTACCGTTAGACCCATCTGATTGCCAGAAAGTATCTGGCAGATCATCTCGTAGCTGATCGAGGCCAAACCCAGGCTTGAAGCTAGAAAGCTTCCAGTTGGCCAACGGCGAGAGATCAAGCAACTGGAGCGAGTCTAGCTCTTCCAAGCCCTTTTTGTAGTAGATCTTCTGTGTTTGGTCCAAGTTAGGATGGTCGGCGGTGCTTGTGTCGCCGGCAATCAGGTTATTATGGCTGTCATCACTCGCCACCCGTCGCCTGTTGGCAAAGTCGTCACTATCGTCGTCATCGTCATCGAAAAACCGAGCGTTCATTGACGGCTGCCCACTACTCATACTCGGACCACCTTCAACGTAGGACAGCTGTTCCCAGTACCCGCTGGCGTCCATATGTGATCTCCGTCCTTAGCTTGATGTGGTGAGCAGATGGATTATGTAATCGGTAACTCGCGATCCCATGATAACATTTTTATAGTGATTACTACACAAGCATTGCACCTCTAAACCTGGCCTTCAGGGGCATCTATAATAATATACATGTTGTGAAAGATAAAGAAGATTACAATTCAACATCCTTCATTTCGTCGTCGTCGGCGGGTTTGTCCGCCTCCTTTTCCGCCACCGGGGCTTCCTTGTTGGTTTCCACCTTAGATTCCGTGGTCTCGTCAGCCTTAGCTTCGGCCTTGGGCTCGGCCTTGGCCTCTTCCTTCACAGTTTCTTCCTTCTTGGCTTCTTCCTTGACTTCAGTCTTGGCCTCGTCCTTAGTTTCAGCCTTGGCTTCGTCCTTAGCTTCGTCCTTAGCTTCGTCCTTAGCTTCATCCTTAGCTTCGGTCTTAGTTTCAACCTTAGTCTCAGCCTTAGTCTCAGCCTTGGTCTCAGCCTTGGTCTCAGCCTTGGTCTCAGCCTTAGTCTCAGCCTTGGTCTCAGCCTTGATCTCAGCCTTGGTCTCAGCCTTCTTAGTTTCTTCCTTGGCTTCCACCTTAGTAGGCTCCTTAACGTCAGCCTTATCTTCGGTCTTCTTCGCCACACCATTCACCTTAGGTTCCATGGTGAAATCAGCCAATTGCTTCGCCACCGCATCAGGGGTATCAGGAACCTTTACCGGAGCAACATCTTCATTAGTGACGCCAGCCTTAGTGGCGGCAGGGTTCGACCCACCGATCAAAGTTTCCTTGGGCAAGTTACCGACCAAAGTTTCCTCTATTATCGGTGACAGAGCCTTCGGGGTACTGGTCAGACTGGGCTTTTTCAGCTTGATCAGCGGCGCCACGTAGGCGGTGTTGTAAGTCTCGTCAAGACCATACTTTCTGAGAGAGCGTCGCTTCAACACCTCGATGTACAGCACTTCACCCTTAAGTTCGCCCTTACCAAATTCGGCACCATCGCGGTCCCAGAATGATAACTTCCCATCGTCTTCATCCTCGTCACCAACCCCGTAATCGTCATCACGCAGAGAACTCAAGAACCCGAGCTCTTCCTTCATTTCCTCGGTGTCGATGCGATAGTTGCCGTTTTCAAGATCCTCCACGTACATGAAGATGAATTCTTGGAATGATGACGTCACCACCAACTTGGTGTCGAAATCACGGCCGAATAAGATGATCTGACCCCATTGACCTTGCGTGCCAGGAGCCAAGTCCAATGCGATCTGGTTACCATAATAATCTTTGAAAAGGGGGATCCATCCGCGATGGTAGTAGTATGGTTGGATGGAGTTAGGAGGTACCAGCCGCTGGTTAGCGACAAATGACAGCGAGAGAGCCTTCAGCGACCCTTCCAGAGGCGCCATCTTCCGCTGCAGTTGGAGGTACTGCTGACGTTCCAAGCGTTCGGCGACCTTGCACCACATCAGGTGTTCTTCATGGATCAGCTCCAAATCCATCAAAGTGAGGCCAAACATGAGCCCCGTGGGCTTACCGCCACGCATTTGCCCGTCGTGACGTTTATAGAACTGACGGAATTCAGCGGGCAACTGGCCGCAGCCGAGATCATTTTCAAATTCGTTCAAATCGGCGGTGGTGACACCGTCTTCAAGACAGTCTTCAAGTTCAGGGTATTCGTCATCCATCCACTTCTCAATACGATCCCACAACGAGTCAATCAGAGGTAAGGGCGGCCGGCCGTCACGATTGAGCGTCGACATTTGCAAATCGGTGTTCAGACTCATCGCCAGCCGGAGGCCGGGGCGGTAGCCGACAATATTGGTACGCGAGCTTTGGCGACTTCCCTCAGGGACCAACAGCACCGACAGCCCGTTATTAAGCTCGTGGAGACGGGTGGCCAGCGCGTTACGGGCGCCAACGACGTTAGAACCCCCCAGCACCACCCCCAGCGACTTGTACGGACTGGAAAACAGCGCGTAGTGGTCCTCGGTGGTGAGCGAATGCACAAACAGTTTGAAACCGTCGAGAAACCCCATGCTTTATTGGTAGATTCGGCAACTTTGGCGGGTTAATAGCAGAACAGGTGAAAGCGGGTTCGGTCACGGTATTAAAATTCGGGGCGCGTGTAAAAAATCTCCAGGTAAACTCGGTGGATGCTTGTTTGTGTGCAGTACGTGATTCTCTACGCCAGAGTATTTTAAGGGAAAAAAAATTTAATTTTACGCCGACCGCGACAGACGGCGACAGCTACCAGCACAGGGGCGGCTTTACTGCCAGCAGCCCGTCTAAGGCGGGGTGGGACGATTATCAGTGGTGACAAAGGATTAAGGGTGACGTAGGGCGGGTAGGCGTGACAGAATGCAGGGCTCGACATCGACACTTAC